ATTTTAAAGTATTTTTGAATTAATTTAAATAAATAAATAGCACATATTTTCATGGGAATGAGGACTGTTTGGATCTTCCAAGAGAAATTATTGGGGGATTTTTTTGAGCAAAACGTCAAGGGCCTGTCGTTAAAAGCATAGACTGTACAATGTGTCGAATGGGACTAATGAGTTAAGAACATAGAGAAAGGGAAAAGAAAAAGGAGAAGGCATCTTTTGGCTGTTGCTTTCCCTTGTTGAACAAATTAAGAGAGAGAGAGAGAGAGAGTTGGAAACAGCAAAAGAAAGGAGAAGAGGTACATTAACACAGCAAATACCAGGACAAGGCGTTACACCAGGGATGTTACAAATGATATTGGAGGAATGGAGGAAGAATATTATTAAGTCAGTGACATCTTTACTGGCTGAAATATTTGCAAATATGGAAGAGAAAATGAATAAAAAATTGGAAGAATCTGCAGTACAAATGTTTGGAGGAGTTAAACAAATTGGGGAAAAAATGGAGATCCTAGAAAATAAGATGGAAATAACAACCAGAGAAATGAATGAAGATTTGAGTGTGGCATCATCGGAACTAAGAGAGGAAGAAATTTGTCTGAGATCAAGAGTCATTTTGGAACAACCTGGGGAAGGCGTTAAGGAGAGAGCTGTCAAAGTTTTAACAGAATTATGGAATGGGAAGAGGAAGATGAAGGTACAGAAGTGAACAGCGTCCACAGAATTAATACAAAATATGTAAAGATAAAAAATGTTTCAAGAAATATGCCTGTGCACTCTGTCAGGAAGATGACAAGAGATCAAGTTATACAACAAGACTTTAATGCCAATTTAATTCTGCCTAAAGAAATATCTATTAGAAGATCACCTAAGAGAAAAGAATACAAAATCAACTTGTTTGGTTGGGGTAAAATAATAAGTATATCTTTTGTAAAAGATTGAAAACCTTTGATGGACTTTTTGCTGAAAATGGTTAAAAATGACTTGGGTGATTTTTGTTTTTGTTAATTAAAAAGGGTTGAATATGGGGAGAGGGGAAATATGTATGAAATTTTAAAGGGGAAAGGGAGAAAATATGCTTGTTTGTAACTGCTGTAAAGAAAATTGGAAGATGCTTCTTTTTTCTAATGTCTTTTTTTTTTTCTTTTTTCTTTCCTACAATAAATAAAGTTCAAAATAAATAAAGAACTTTGGAGGTCTTGGGTTTCAGCTGCTGCTGATGAATACCAGGTCAGTCTGTAATAAGGCCTCCCTCACCCATTAAGCAATTGTGGATGAGAAGGCCAACCTGGTGTGAATTACCAAAACCTGGTTGGGTATGGGGGGATCCCCTTTCAGAAATGTGCCCGGGTGGGTTTCAATTGTGGCATCAGCCAAGACTCTGATATATAGGAGATTCTGGTGGCCCTCAGAGGCACTGTTGCACAGATGTGAAACCTTATTTGTGAAATTGGGCTATAAGGATCAGATGGGATAACTGCTTGTGTATTAGACTTGCTGCTGTGCAGCAACCTCTCTGCATGAGCTGTTTGACTCTGGCTAGGCTGTTGGTGGAGTTTCCCAAGCTCATGGTTCTGGAGGATTTGAGCCTTCGCTGGGCCCTAAGAGGCAGTTTAAGAGTACTTGATCCACGTTATTAAAGGTCTAATTCACAGTGTGTGTGTGTGTGTGTGTGTGTGTGGTGGGGGGAGTGTCTCACACCAGATCTGGCTTTGTCTCAGGGCTACGATGATGTGATCTGGAATTAGGGGATGTTGTCATCAATCCTTGTCATGGACAGATCACTCCCTGCTACCTTTGCAGTTTTTCAGGTTGACCCCTGCTGCAAGGAGGAAGAATCTATTCAGTTGGTTTGCCCCAGGCACCTTAGGGACCCAGTGGGTCCTAGAGGGAACTTGGGGTAGTTTCTGAAGCTCTGGTACAGACTTTGCCTGAGGCCTTAGTTGCTGTTTAGAATGGGCAATCAATAGTACCTTGGATCAGATCATGTCTCTGCAACTCTCTATGTAGGTGGATATTGGAGGGCCTCCTGGTTCTCAGAAGAACTTCAGGAGATGAAGTGGCATGAGAGAAGCCTGGAGTAAGTCTGACTGGGCTCAGGTAAGAGCCTATATTAAGGACTACTTTGGGGTTATAAGGGTGATGAAATGTTCCTATTTTTCTGCCCTTATTGCATCTGTATATAGTTGCCCAGCAATCTAGTGACTCAGTCCCTTCTAAGTAAGGAGAAGTTGGGGGGACCCTTGCAGGGCCACTGCAAGTATTATGCCAAGCATGCTAAGTTGCCAGGATTCACTTGGAGCTGACCTTTGACTGTGCTGATCCTATGGAGATGACTGGGGCTCAGTCTTGTTTGGTTATCTGGGCTGATTTTGATCTGGTGATTCCCAAAGAAGTGGACAGTATCTTTGGGATTGTGAGCTCTACTACTTCTGTATTAGACCTGGTTGATCAAGGCCTCTTGAGAAGTGACATGCGGCTATGTTCAAGCAGTGGTGAATGCTTTCTTGCAGAGGGATGTTTCCACTTGCCTTAAAAGAGATGGTAGTCTGCCCCATCCTCAGGAGGCCATCCCTGGACCCAGCAGTAGTAGACAGTTTTCACCCAGCCTCCAATCTTCCTTTTTTGGAGGGAGTTTCCCTTGTGGAGAAGTTGGTAGGCCTGCAGCTCCAAAGGGCTTTGGAGGAAGCAGATTATCTAGAGCTGTTGCAGTCAGGTTTCAAGCCAGGATATAATATTGAAATAGTATTGATCACACTTGTGGATGACCTCTGGCAGGCCTGGGGTGGGGTAGTGTGTTCATCCTGTCCTCCTTGATCTCTTTGAGCTTTCAGTACCATTGATCATGGTATCCTTCTGGACTGGCTGAGAGGGTTGGGTGGCACAGTTCTATGATTCTTCTTCCTCCAAGGTCAGTTCCATATGATGTTGGGAGGGAGGTTCAGCCCTAGGACTCTGGTTTGTGGGGTTCCACAGTGCTCAACTCTCTCCCCGCTTTTATTTAACATCCACATGAAACTGCTAGGTGAGATCATCTGTTGGCACAGGGTTAACTACTCAGTTATACTTTTCTGTCCCGGACCATCCAAATTATGCCATCAAAGTGCTTTCTGTAATGGTATGTGGGAAAGACCTTGGCTGAATGGACCAAGAAATGCTGCCTAGGGAATGATCAGATAAGAGACAGCATAGCCTGCAGCTGGATAGTAGCTGGGGCAAGAGGCTCAGAAGAGACCCTCCCTAGTTTCTAGGGCTGTAAAGGAGATGGTGGGAGAATTGTACTTTCAGACTTGCAAGATTTATGTCAATCTTACTAGGTAGACCAGACAGGAAACATGACTAGAAAAGCTAATTCTACTTTATAGTAAAGCTAAATAACAGAATCTTGCCTGCCCACTATCCAGCTGCACTTTCTCAGTGCCTGGAGGCTATGCGGATAGGGGAAAAAACAGCTTTGGCTCAAACCTGAGAAGACTGAGAGGCTGTGGGTTTTAGGGTCCCCCATATCTAATGACTTTCCATCATTAACTCTGAGTATGGGTCATACTCCCCTAGGCAGAGTTGGTGTCCAATCTGGAGGTTTTCCTGGGCTTTTGACTTCTGTTCAAGAAGTAAGCAGCAGCGATGACCAGGAGGGCCTTTGCACAGTTACATCTTGTGTGCCATTTGCACCTATTCCTAGATTGGCAAGCACTGCTCACAGTCACTCATGCCTTAGTCACCTCCCAATTCAACTATTGCAACACACTTTATATGAGGCTGCCCTTGAAGAGCATTTGGAAGCTTCAGCTAGTCCAAAATGCAGCAGCACATGCAGTATTGGATGTACTATGATACACCCATGTAATATCACTGCTACATGAGTTGCATTGGCTTTCAGTGAACTTCCAGGTACAATTCAAGGTGCTGGTTGTCACCTTTAAAGCTCATCCCACTAGATCTGGCAGAGTGAACATGCTCCATGTCCCATTGGTGAAGCAGTGTGACCTGGTGGGCCCCAGGAACCATGCCTTCTCTGTCACGGAAATTATCTTGTGGAACAGCTTCCTGCTGAGTTATGGACTGCCCTGACCCTATTAGTTTTTTGGAAGACTGTGAAAACCTGGCTCTTCCCCCAGGAACTGGGGCTGGAATATTGATGGAGTTCTGGCATGAGTGTGGCTTTGTTTGATATGTTAATAATGTAATTTTTATGGGCCTCAACTTAGTTTCTTTTGAAATGGTTTTTTATAGTCTAGTTATGTTTTATTTCTGTTCACTGCCAGATTTACTTGAGGTAGATAGCTACATAAATTTGTTAAATAAAATAAAATAAAATAAAATACAGATAAAACATCAGCTTCTTAACCAAGCACTTTGTCTGGATGCTCTGTTACATTATCATAATGAGTCTTGCATATTAGATATTGGTGTTCACATGATACCTTGAACCACATATTAGTCAATCACATTTTACTATCTTCCTGTATGATTATTTTATAGTTCAGTGTGTCATGTTAGTCCAGAAATTGAGTTGAGTAAACCATGGGTTAGTTAATATGGGTAAGCGTATTATACAAGTGCTATAATTAAAAGGTCTGTCTGAAAGGAGCCACTAATGCAAAATGGGATTTGGATAAAAATGTGTATATCTGTTAAGTATTTTGAGTTAGCACTATATCACACACTAATCTATATTACAGAACTACTCAATATTTACTAAGAATTTAAATGAGGCTTCATAAAACATTTGCATGCATTCAAGAAAATGACAATATCTCAAAACATATGGTATAACTTAGTCCTTTCACCTTGAGTACGATGGACTTTGTTAACCTAATAGGGACAAATGGACATGATTAATAGACTCGTGGTTGAAACTTATGGAATCTATAGAGACTGTAGAACTGACTGTGCAAATTTGTCTCATCTTGCTCACTACAGGAAAGAGATGTCTTATGTGCGTTTTATTTTTAATAAAAATAAAAGATAGACTTATTTAGTGTGTTTCATGTTTTTAACAGATTCTTCCTGTCAGGCTAATTCCTCAAAAACATCCAGCTTTCTACAGTTCAACAAAATAATGTTAATAACAGATGAAGAATTTCTGCCATGCCATGCAGGAGAAAAATACTGGGACTTCTATACCAACTGTGAAAATTTTGGATTTTAAACAACATCCTGAAATACATTTTTCCTTCCATGAGAAGTGACATTTTGTGTTTGAATTTTTAAAAATATTATTTTATTAATATTTTAAATTATAAAAATTATAATGAACACCTCCCTTTTAAAATCTGAAAAGAGTGAAACTTTGTGACTATAGCCTGTGGGAGAAAGGAGATTCAGCAATAATGTCAATAAAGATAGTGGAGATGAAATTTCACTCTTTTTCATTTTTGGAAGGACCCAATAATTTATAAGAAAGTAGATATAACTACTTCCCTGTCTCTCTTTTTACATATCTGTCAGCAGATGTAAACTAAGACTTTAAAGCACAGATGGACATTCTTCACATTATGTGACATTCTTCACATGAGCTCCATCATCCAGGTCATCAAGAAAATGTAATTTTAATGTACTGTTCAATGTAATGTATGAATTTTGGCAGGAAAGTTTATTTAAAGGAAAATTAACAAAATATTCAAAGAGAGGAGGTTTATTTTTACATGTGTTAGTTGAATACACTCAATTTCCTCTGTGCATTCATGCGTACAAACTAATAAGATTGATTAGATTTAATTAAGTCATTTTTTTTAAACCTACAATTTAATTTTATCTCAGAAACCTATTAGTAACAGAATAAAACTGTTTCACTTTATTGCTGAATATGAGAAAGTAAAGATAAACATCTTGATTCATATCTGCAGTAGTTAGCTGTTGCCTAAGCTGGAAAAAAAGTTGGTTGCGTTGTTTTATAATGGAGATCCTTATATGTTAGCAATGATGCCAGCTGTAATTTTTAGCATTGTGGCTTGTGAAACAGTTACCTGAATACTGGGCACATTTTTGAAACTCAAAAGTGCACAATTTTGAAGCTATTTATCTTCACACCAGGACAGTCCTGCTGGACATAAAATTACCTGCTTGCTATTTAACACACTCATGATTAAGGGCAATAGAATTAATATTTAAGAAGGGAAAACCCTGTGGGAAGAATTATGATCCATTCACCCAATAATTGAATTATACTGTCTACTTGAGATAATGGAATGTATTTTCCAATAGCTGTTTTTAAGTCCACAAATGGATGCTAATTATCAGTTCTTTGTTCAAAATCACCTATGAACATTTACCAAGCAGAACAAACTTTTTTTCCAGATAGAATAACCTCCTTGAACTAAGTATAGCATCAGCTTTATTCTATGTATCAGCCTCTGAAAGGACTGCACATGTCTTACATTTGCTTTTTTCCCTAGAATATCTGTAGCACTGCAAATGTCCTTTCCTTGGATTAAACAAAACATTAAAGCTGTTAAATGGAGATATTTGTGATCTCCAGCTTGTAAAGAAGTCAAGGAAGTGCTGCAGACTATTTCATAGCAGTCTTTCAACAGCTTGCTGTGAGGGATCCTAAAATAGTGGTACTGAAGTGATTGATTATTGGCTTAGGCAACAGGATAATATCAGATATTACCACAGGGCTAAAGGAAATAAAACTTTAGAAAGGAGTTATGTTTTGTGCTGACACTGTTGGAAACAACTCTAATTCAAATGTCAAAATTGTCATGAAATTAAAAAGTTACATTAGGATGAGGAGTAATATATTTTAAACAAGGCTAATTGAGTCCCGTTTGTCCTTTCAGCCCTGTTATGTTGTAATTGTGTTTTTCCTTTGTTACAAGAAGCATAATGGAAAGATGTGTTGACAATGCAGCATTAGTTCATATTCAAGTTTTATGTGCAGGAATGCCTGTTAAATGTATGAAGGATTTATTTTGGATTTATTTCACTGTTTACTTGACTAATTGTTTAACCTGTTTTATTTGTAAAACTCAAAACATTTAATAAATGAATAACATCAGCAATCAGGCTTTGTAGCAGCATTTTATATTAGGTTTCTTATAGATGAACATAATGTCAAGATCGAGAGTGATAAGTAGGAAGTAGGAAACTGACTAGATATTAGAAGTGGGAGAGACCATTTGTAAATCCCTATTTCATCTGTATTTGGTCTTACTAAAGTATAAATTCTAGGTTTATTATCTTTCTTTGACAGCAAACATTGTAAAACTTTGTGCATATGTAACAGCACAGAATTGCCTAGCGTAGTGACTGCTGTTTTCCTTAGGGATAAAATTCAAGGGCAAAGTCCAAGATACATGTGGCTGTTCATTCATCTTCTGCATTAATTCTAGAAACAATACTAGAAAGACAGAATGAAATTAAAAAGTACAATTTTCTAAAAAGGCAATGGAAATAGATATGTATTCATTATTGAAACAAAGAATTTATTCCATGTTTACATGAAAAACAAACAAGTAACAAACAGAATTCAGTTTGTTATACTTTGAATTTGAGCAATGGTTGAGATAGCAAAAAGGAATTAGCACAGCAAAAAGGTTCTGATTAATGTCTTGGAAACTCAACTCCTGTTAAAGCAACAGGTTGGATTTGGGGCCTTCTTGGACCAGGATGTCCAGCGTCCTCTACAAGGGGTTGTATTTGGTGACATGTTGGTGCAGAATGCGGCAGCTAGATTACTGGCAGGAGTACCCCAATTCCTAAGTTGCCAACATTACTTACCGGTATGCTTCTATACCCAATTCAAAGTGCTACTCGTAATTTTTAAAGCCCTTTGCTTTAAATTGCACATTGCACCAGGATATAATAATAATAATAAAAAAAATTATTACAGTCATAGACCAATACAACTAAAAATGCACATAACATGTCTACTTAAATATC